CACAGTGGAATTAGATTTAAAAACATCTGTCAGTAGATCTTCAGAAAATCCTCAAATTATAAATAACCTATGGGTCAAAGAAGGAAAAACAGTGAAAAATTGAAAATATTTTGAACTGAATAATAATGAAAATAGGACTTATTAAAATATGGGAAGAAGCTAAAGTAGTGCTTTGAGTTGGGAAATTTATAGCAAAAAGGAGAAAAATTAAAAATCAGTTAAGCTTACATTTTAAGAAGCTACAAGTTTAACAGCAAAGTAAACCAAAAGAAAGAAAAAGACATAACACTGATATAAAAAGATAACACTAATAGAAAAATGACAGAAAATCTGAAGAGTCATATATCTGCTAAAGAAATTAAATGTAGTTAACAACCTTCCTATGACTTTACTGGTAAATTCTTCCCAATATTTAATGAAAATGTTTCTATGAAAGATTATATCTAGTGCCTTAGTTTTCTGTAGCTACTTGCTGTAAACTGAATATTAATATCCCCTCACTTGCACCCCAATTCATATGTTGAAACCTAATCCTCAGTGTGATAGTATTTGGAGCTGGGGCCTATGGAAGGTGATTATGTCATGTGAGTGGACTCTTCGTGAATGGAATGAGTGCCTTATAAAAGATACCTCAAAGAGCTCTCTAATACCTTCCACCATGTAAGGACATGAGAAGATGGTCATCAGTGAACCAGGAAGTGGTCCATCATCAGACACTACATCTGCCAGTGCCTTGATCTTGGACTTCTTAGCCTCCAGAACAGTGAGACATAAATTTCTCTTATGTATAAAATACCTCGTTTATGGTATTCTGTTATAGCAATCTGAATGGGCTAAGACACTATCAAATTACCACACAGTGACTTAAATAACACAAATTTATTCTTACAATTCTGGGGGTCAGAAGCCTAAAATTGTTCTCACTGGGTCCAAAGCAAGGTATCAGCAGGGTTGTATTCTTTCTGGAGGCTTTAGGGGATAATCCATTTTCTTTTCATTTCCCAGTTTCTAGAGGACTTCCTAGAGCTTGCCTGCATTCCTGGCCCATGGCCCCATTACTCCATCTTCATTGCCAGCAATATCAGTCTGAATCCTTATGCTAACATCTCTCTGGCTCTTTTATGTTTGCTTCTCTTTTACTTAGGCAGAGGATTCAGCTGTGCATGACTCTTGTAATAACAAGGACTCTTGCCATTAAATTGAGCACAACTGGATAATCCAGGATAATCTCCCCATCTCAAGGTTAGCTGATTAGCAACCTTAAGTCCATTTGCAATTTAAATATCCCTTTGCCATTTAATCTAACATATAGATTCTGTGGTCAGGATGTGGACATCTTTGGCAGTGATTATTCTGCCTAACTCAGCCAATCTTATATAACTCACTGAAAAGGGAAAGAGGAAACCATTTTTATGAGGCCAGCATAACTCTAATATCGAAACCTGACAGGGATATTACAAGAAAACTAAAGGCCAACATCTCTTGTGAATATAGATAACAAAAATCCTAAACAAAGTTAAAAATATAATTGAGTAATATATTAAAATAATAATACCATAATGTTCATGTTAGGAAGTATTATTACAGGAATGTAAAGCCTGTTTAATCTTTGAAAATTCACTGCATTAGTTGAATAAAAGAGAATAATCATGGCCATCTTAATTGGTACAGAGAAAGCTTTTCATTTATGTTCATTTGATAAACTCGGTCATTACCCATAATTAAAAATTTTAAACAAATTGGGAATAGAGGGAACATTTTTAATCTGATAAATCTGTACCAGAAATATTTTTCAAACATTATACATAATGATGAAGTATTGGAACATTTTCCTCCTGACTTTGGAAACAAGATAAAGATGTTCACTGTAAACACTTGCCTCCAACATTTTCCTGTAATTTCTAGACAATCAATGAAGGCGAGATAAAGAAAAGGAATAAATACTGGAAAGAAAGATATAAACACTTTCCTTTATTTGTAGGTTACCTTTTTATATTCATAGAAACTCTAGAAGGATCTCAAAATATAGTAATAGAATTAACAAGTAAACTTTGCAAGATTTTAATTGTACAGAAAAATTCATTGTATTACTCTGTACTTTCAGAAAGTAGTTGAAAATGAAATTTTAAAACATCATTTACTACAGCTTCAAAAGCCATCAATTACCTAGAGATAAATTTAATTAAAAATGTGCAGTGCTGCTACACTCTATGACTGTAGGGACAAATTTCTATAACAAGACATGAAAATACTTACCATATGGGATTAGATGAATAAATTTGACTACATGAAAATTAATAACCTCTTTATCAAAAAAAGTCATATAAAGGCTGGGCATGGTGGCTCACACCTGTAATCCCAGCACTTTGGGAGACCGAAGTGAGCAGATCATTTGAGGTCAGGAGTTCGAGACCTGCCTGGCCGATATGGTGAGACCTGGTCTCTGCTAAAAATAGAAAAATTAACTGGGTATAGTGGTGGGTGCCTGTAGTCCCAGCTATTTGGGAGGCTGAGGCAGGAGAACCTGGGAGACTGAGGCTGCAGTGAGCCAAGGTCATGCCACTGCACTTCAGCCTGGGTGACAGGGTGAGACTCTGTCAAAAAAAAAAAAAGTCATATAAAAAGAATTCAAAACAGTAATAACATCTGAAAAAGAACTAGAATTCAGCCGTATAAAGAACTTCATCAGTGGAAGAATTATGGACAACTATTCATTTTCTGTTGCTGTGTATCAGATTACAACAAATGGAGCAATTTTTTGTGCAGTAGTCCACACACAGCTGAGTCCTCTGCTTAAGGTGTCATCAATCACAAAACAAGATGTTGACTCTACTTTGTTCTCATCTGGACAATCAGCTGGTAATGAATCAGCTGCCAAACTCAGGTTGTCCTCAGAATTTATTTCCTTTGGTTGTAGATTCTTGATGGCTCTGGCTTCTTGGTGGCTATTGGCTGGAGGCCACCCTCAGTTCCTAGAGGCTGCCGATAGTTTTTTGTCACATGGTCTTCCTCAATATGGGTGCTTAATTCATGGAGCTAGCAAGGAGAATCTCTAGAGTGAGTTTGCTAGCAAAATGGAATCCGTAATGTAACACAATCATAGGGGTCACACCCTGTCATCTTTCTGTTGATAAGAAGCCAGTCATAGGTGTTTTCTACACAAAGACATGAACACCAGTGGGGAAGGGTCAATGGGACTACCTTAGAGTATGTCCATCATCACAAGCCAATAGAAAAATGAGCAAAAGACTTGAACAAGCATTTCAGGGAAAAAACCTATACAAATGGCATATAAACATGAAATGTGCTTAACCTTATTAGTAATGAGGAAATTAAGAAGTAAAGGTATAGTGCTCTTCTATTTACCATCAGATTGGCAAAAGATAAAGAACATTATATTTACACACACACACACACACACACACACACACAGAGCGATAGAGAGAGAGAGAGTTTGTTTTAAGGGACTGGTTCACACAATTATGAGTGCTTGCAAGGCAGGCAAGTAGAAAATTTTCAGGACAGGCTGGCAGGCTGGAAATTCCAGCAGGGGTTAATGTTGCAGTCTTGAACCTGAAGGCAGTTTGGAGACAAAATTTTTTCCTCTTTGTGAGACATCAATCTTTTCTCTTAAAGCCCTAAGCTAATTGGATGAGGCCCACCCATGTTATGGAAGTTAATCTGCTTTACTCAAAGTTTATTGATTTAAATATTAATTACATCTAAAAAATATCTTCACAACAACATTTAGACTAGTGTTTAAGCAAACAGCTGGGCACCATAACCAAGTTGACACCATTGCACACATCTATAAATGTTTACCACTATGCCTGAAAATATTGTAGCACCTTAATGACTGTTACTTGTTTTCCTTTCTGAATCACACTTTACTTGGGTCTTTATTTTCAAATAAGGTTATAAATCTACCTGCCTCTTTCCAGGTATACCCACACTGCTTTAGTTTGAGGCACTCAGCAAAGGTTTCTGGAATAAATAAAAAGAATTAGAGATTTATCTCATGTTACTGAAGCACTCTGTTTTTTTTCCTTATTAAGCATTTAGCATTTGTTTGTATTCTTCAGTATTCTCTATCTTCATTGAGTTGTGGGGATGGTATCATTTTCTCCATTGTGAAGTTAAGTACGTTTTCCAGCACATAGTAAACTCTAAATATTTGTTGAATGAATGAATCAACTGGAAATATTTTCATGTAATTTTTAAAGGGATCTGACATTGCGTTAGCATATGATATTATATTCTCAACTTGCTTAATGCTATTAAGAATTTTAGTGCTTTGGCCAGATGCAGTGGCTTAAGCCTGTAATCCCAGTATTTGGGGAGGCTGAGGCAGGAGCATTGCTTCAGCCCAGGAGTTTGAGACTAGCCTGGGAAACATCATGAAACCCTGTCTCTACAAAAAATGCAAAAACTAGCCAGGCATGGTGGCTTGTGCCTGTAGTCTCCAAGGCCCAGAGGATCAATTGAGCCCAGGATGTTAAGACTACAGTAAGCCATGATCGTGCCACTCTACTTGGGGAATGGAATGAGAATCCATCTCACACACAAAAAAGTTAATTTTAGTTTTTCAATAAAATTTGGTAGAGATGCTTTGCTCATGTGAGTAATCAATCTGATAGGGATGCATAAGGTAAAAGTTAAAGACCAATAAGAATTAGAAAAATTTCTGCCATACATATGTCATACTGTTTGTCTACATTTATAATAGGTAAATGTGAACACTATGTTACCTATTATAAATGTAGATATTTACCCAACAAGGGATGCTTACCCAACAGCCACTGATCATGACAAATATGGCAAATATTGCATAAGTTTCTAGAATGTCTTGAGGCTCCATGTAGGAATTTGTTTTATCATTTAACTGTAAATACTTTGCTTTCTTTAAATAAGGAAAAAAATTCATAAAAACAAAAACATATATAACAAACACATACACATAATTATATTCTTATTTATTGCCTTTCTTTTAATTTTTTAAGGTATTTTGTCCAGTCTGAGTCCTGTGAATTCTCCCAACCATGGAACAGTGTCTGCTGGCTCTCTAACTAATCGATCACATATAGAATTTCCTGATACTGCTGATTTTCTTAATAAGCCAAGCATTATTTTACAGAGATCTCTAGGCAATGTACCCAATACACCAGATTCTTTTCAGCAGCTTGGAAATCCTGATAGCAATCTGTGTAACAGGTAAGTTTCCCAACTGTTTATTATTTCTGTTTCAAAATGTCAATTACAGTTAAGTCCTCAACATTTTGGATAGGTTGTTGGAAACTCCAACTTTAAGCTTAATGACCGGATTTTTTTTTGGTGTTACAATGAAATGACATTATTTGAAGATGTGCTGTAAGTTGTTTCACTTAAAGTGTCAGTTTTCAAAAACGTATCAATGATATTAAGTGAGGACTTTACTGTATTAAATAAAGTATTACCAGTTTTCTCATTCTATGTTATAACTAGATGATGGGTTTAGCCTCTATTTTTTTCCTTATTTACCTAGTAGTTTTTATTCTAAATAAATCTTTTATCATTTTAGTGGTATTAATTTTTTTAATTAAATAGTTTCCATCTGAGATAAAATATAGTGGTATTCTCCCCATCCTAAGATCTTAGTAAATATTAATTTAGTATACACTACTTAGTACCTATTCATAGTACCCAGTCATATGGCGTTTGATCTTATTTGTGCTTTACTAATAGTAAGGGTTTACCTCAGACCCAAAGTTCACTTTGAAAAATATTTTGTTTCCTTCAAAGACACACAGACCCTTTTCTAGTTTAAAGCCTTTAAGTTTATAGAGAGATTGGAATGTTAGGATGTGTTGCAGTTGAGACCTTGGTTAAAAATTAAACAGATTTTCTAATTGTGTTCAGGTAAAAAACTTTTACCTCATTTATCATATATATTTATCTATTTTATTCTATAAGCTGTGGACATCAAATACTGAAATATGTTTCAACATCTGAATCAGATGGTACAGATTGCTGCTGTGGAAAATCAGGTGAGATTACAAAAGTTATATGTACTTGAGTTTAAGAGAAATTTCTTACAATGATTTTTAGAATAGGCAAATGAATGAGTTTAATTTAAGTTTATCCATCTTTAAAATGAAGATTATTATTTTTTATCCACTTCACAGAGGATTTATTAAGAACAAATTATAAATAATAGATGGTGAAAGTAATTTGAATAATAAAAATGTGCTGCACCAATGAATGTAGTCTTCTTAGGTTATGGCTATTGTTTATAAATAGTGAAATTATTTATATTAACATTGAAATTTGTACTGTACAATCTAAACCCAAAAGGGTTTGCATAAATTTTTTTTATCACATAAAGAGGAGTTGTTTTAAAGTCTGGTTAATTGCATCATTCTGAAATATTTTATATCCTCAAACAAGAAACCGTGTTGATGAAATTATAGTTGTTTTAGAACCTTAAAAATTGATGACTCAAACTACCAGTAGTAGTTAACTAAATAACTCAGACCAACATTCCCCTTGAGGGCAACTAGAAAAGCTGGACAAATTATTTATTTAAAAAGTCTACTTGAAGCCATTGAAGAACTAAAAAGATCCTGTGAATCACCAGTACAAGATCTGTTGGAAGACAGAACTCCAAGAAAAGTGAGCCTGGAGTTTGTGGCTATCAAAAGGGTGTATGCCAATTCCAGAGAGAACAATGACTGATAGGATGAGCAATTTCATTTGTAGCTTCATGGGACTAGGAAGGCAGAGACTAGAGTTGAAGGCTTCTCATGGTAGAGATAACTTGATAAACTCTGAAGTGTTGTACCCTAGGAAAAAAGGTAAACCAAAAATAGATAAGCCTTTTCAGGAAATATAGGCTGTTCTCAATCCCTTTAGATAACCATAAAATTTACCTCTTTAAAGTGTGTAATTTAATAGTTTTTTTTTTTTTTTCATTTGAAAGGATTGTTTAAAAAGTAAACAAGTAGAGGTAGGGCTTCACCATATTGGTCAGGCTTGTCTTGAACTCCTGACCTCAGGTGATCCACCCGCCTTGGCCTCCCAAAGTGCTGGATTACAGGTGTGAGCCACCGTGCTCGGCCCTAACTTATTCTATGAGACCAGTATCATCCTGATACCATACCCAGACAAAGATATCACATGAAAACTACAGACCAATATCCCTTCTGTGTATAGAAACAAAAATCCCTAACAAAATACTAACAAACTGAATCCAACAGTATGAAAAGATCACTTTGTGGTCAAGTGATATTGGAATGAATGAGTTGCTGAGTATTAGGAAATCAGTCAATGTACTATATCATAGTAATAGAATAAAGGGGAAAAAAACCACATGATAATTTCAATAGATGCTGAAAAAACATTTGACAAAATCTAACACTTTTTGTGATTAAAAACATGCTAATAATAGCAGGGAAGTTCCTTAGCCTGATAAAGGATATCTTTAAAAAACACGTATCTGACATCATCCTTAATGGAAAAAGACTGATGCTTTCCCCATAAGATCAAGAATAAGATCTTAGGGTTTTTGCTTTGAGCACTTCAACACTGTACTGGAGGGTCTAGCCAGAGAAATTAGAAAAAAAAATAATAAAGCCATCCAGAATTTTAAGGAAGAAATAAAACTCCCAATTCACAGATCGTGTGATCTTTTACATGGAGAATCTCAAAGAACACACACACACACACACACACACACACACAACTAGAACAAATACACAAGTTTAGCAAAGTTACCAGATATAAGATCAGTATACAAAAATCAATTGTATTTCTATATACTGTCAATGAACTATTGTAAATTGAAATTAAGAAAGTACTTCCATTCACAATTGTATTAAAACAAATAAAGTAGTTGGAATACATTTAACAAAAGTTCAAATTTTATACACTGGAAACTATAAAAACAATGTTGACAGAAATTAGAGAAAAACCAAGTAATTGAGAGGCATTTCATAGTAATGTATTTGAAGACTCAGTATTGTCAACATGACAATTTTTCTATATTGATTTATAAATTGAGCACAATTCTTATTAAATTCCAGCAGGCCTTTTTAAGGATAGAAATGGACAAGTTGGTGCTAAAATGTATACAGAAATACAAATGACCTATAATAGCAAAAAAAAAAAAATTGAGAAATAACAAAGTTGGAGGACTTTTATATACGACTTAATTTGAAATCTTGTTTTAAAGCTAATATAATCAAGGCACAGGGTTGAACCTGTAGATCAGTGAACAGAACTGACAGTCCAAAAAGAAATTCCTGCATTTGTAGTCAATTGATTGTCAACAAAGAAGCCAAGACAATTCAAAAAAGAAAGGGCAATTATTTTCTTCTCCCCTGCCCTGCCAAGAAATAGTTCTGGATCAATTAGCTCTCCACTTGCCAAAGAAAGGACTTACATCCTTACCACATCATGTACATGGAAAGTAACTGAAAGTAGAGCATAGGTGTATGTATAAGAACCAAAACCATGAAACTTCTAGAAAAAAATATAGAACACAGTCTTTGTGACCTGGGGTTGAATAAAGCATTTTTAGATTCAATACCAAAAGCACAATCTAATAAAGAAAAAAATGCAAAATTGGGCTTCACCAAATTAAAAACTTTTGAATATCAGAAGACATCAGTAAGAGAATGAAAAGGGAAACAATACACTTAGAACATATTTGCAAATTATACATCTGATTAAGAACTTGTATCCATGATATATAAAGAAGTCTTACAACTCAATAAGTCAAACTACTCAATTTAAAAATGGACAAAAGATTTGAGATAATTTGGTGAACGTAATTTGGAGAAGGATTTAAATGAATGGGTAATTAAAACATGAAAAGATCATGAACACCACTAGTCATTAGGGAACTGAAAATTAATACTACAGTGAGATACTACTACACAAACTATAATAGCTGTAATCAGAAAGACAATTCAAAAATACTAACTGTTGGCAAAGATTGGGACCCTTGTGCATTGCTGATGGGAATGTAAAATGGTATAGCTACTTTGGAAAACATTTTGACAGTTTCTAGGCAGTCAGTAACTGGACACATCAGCTTATTATATGAGCCAACAATACCACAGCTAAGAATTTACCCAAGAGAAAACATGAGCACTCAGAGATGGTTATGTGAATGCTTATAACATCATTATTAACTGTAGAGTAAACCTGGAAACAATAAAAATATCCTTCAACTTGTGAATGAATAAACATCATATGATTTATCATTACAATGGAATTCAGTTCAGCAATTAAAGGAATAAACTTCTGATACATGTTGCAACATAGATGAACTTCTAAACATTATTCTAAGTGAAAGAAGCCAGGCTCAAAAGATCATATATTATATGATTACATTTATATGAAATTCTTGAAAGACAAAACTTAAAGAGACAATAATCACAACAATGGTGGCATAAAGTGAGAAGAGGGATTAACTGTAAGTAGGCATGAAGGAACATTTTGGGTGTGTTGAGAATGTTCTAAAACTGGATTGAAATGATTGTTGATAACTGCAAATATACCAAAATTGTTGAACTGTACACTTATGTCGTGGGCTAAATATTTGTGTTCCTCCAAAAATTCATGTGTTGAAATCCTATACCCCAATATGATGGTATTGGGAGATGAGGCCTTTGGGTGGTAATTAGGTCATTAAGGTGTAGCTCTCATGAATGAGATTAGTTCCCTTATAAAAGAACCCCAGAAAACTCTCTAGCCCTGTTTCCCACTGTGTGAGGATACAATGTTAAATTGGTGCTCTGCAACCTGGAAGAGGGCAGTCACTGGAACTTGAGTAGGCTGGCACCTTAATCTCAGACTTTCAACTTCCCTAACTGTGAGAAATAAATTCCTATTTTTTATAAGCAACTCAGTGTATAGTATTCAGTTATAGCAGCCTGAACTAAGGCATTTTACAATGGGTACATTTTAATGGTATGTAATTATATGCAATAAAGTTTTTTAAAAAGAACAATAATATGTTAAGTGTTATAGTTCTTTGGGTGGACTCATCTCAGCTGGGAGATTCTCACCTGAGGACTTTCATGAGATTGCAGTCAGATGTTGGTTGGAGAAGCACTTATCTGAAGATTTGATTGGGCTGAATTTCCAAAATGGATTACTCATGTGCCTGTTGGCTATTTACCAGTCCATCTAAATATGACCCCTCCATGGGCTTCTTCCAGTTTGTTGGCAGCATTCTCAGAGAGTAGGAAGTGGAAACTGCCAGTCCAGTTAATGGCCCAACTCAGAACAGAATGTCACTTCTGCCATATTCTGTTAATCAGAGCAGTCATGAGGGATATTGAGATTCCAGGGGGTTGGTAAATAAATGCTCTGTCTTGATAGAGGAGTGACAAGAATACATTTCGGAAAAGTGTGTGGGAGAAGAGATAATGTTGTGGACATCTTTAGAAAAGAAATGCTACATTTATCTTACCTGTTTTTACTATTTTCTGTAAGATAATAGTTATTAGGAGTCCATACCATTAAAAAGTAAATTATGTAATATACCTCGTGTCAACAATTTTTGATTAACTGCTGTTTCATTGTAGTTACTGCTTTAACCAAGAATACTTGAATATGCTAAGTTTAATTTCTTAAACTAAATGTTTTTCATTTGGAAAAATCGTATGTTCTAAACAATAATATTTCCAGATCATCATCTAATCAATTAATGATTGTTTGGTATATTCATTGTATTACGTTGAGATTGCACTAACATTTATGAATCACCTATTATGCATAACATCTTGTAAGATAGGTATTATTATCCAGCTTTTACAAGGGAGAAAGCTTGCCATTATTAAGCACAAAAATTATGATTTGAAAGTAGTTTTCTGAAACTCAACTCCAATGAGTACTCTTAAGAATTTTTTTTGTTTTTTGTTTTTGAGACAGAATCTCACTCTGTCATCCAGGCTAGAGAGTGCAGTGGCACAATCATGGCTCATTGTAGCTCCCAACTCCTGGGCTCAAGCAATCCTCCCTGCTCAGTCTTCTGAATAGTTGGGACTACAGGCATGGGCCACCATGCCTGACTAATTAAAAATTTTTTTTTATTTTTGTAGAGATGAGAACTCGCTCTGTTGCTCAGGCTAGTCTCAAACTTTTGGTTTCAAGTGATCCTCCCGTCTTGGCCTCCCAAAGTATTAGGATTATAGGTATGAGCCATTGTACCCGGCCAAGAGCTCTTTTTTCTTAAAAAAAAAAAAAAAAAAATTCTACATATTGAAAATTTTTAAAAGTCTATGTCTTGAAAGTACATAGATCGTGAGTTTATAGCTTGTAACTATAATATAATCAGCACCCAGATCAAGAAACAAAACGGGAGGCTGGCCAAAATGGCCAATTAGAAGCAGCTAGTGTGCACTGCTCTCATGGAGAGAAATAGAAGGGGTGAGTACATACAACACCTTCAACTGAAACATCCATATACACACATTGGGATTCATCAAGAAAACAACTCAACCTCCAGAGAATGTAGAAAAGCAAGGCAGGATGACTGTCCACCTGGGAATGACACAGAGCCAAGGGAGCCTCCCTCACCCAGGGAAGCATGAGTGAGTGAGCAACCCTGGGGACCTATACTTGTCTCAGATCTTTGCAACCCTTGAGTCAGGAGACCCCCTTCATAAATCCACTGCACCAGGGTATGCAGTCTGATATGCAGAACTATGTGGCATCTTGGCAAAGTAGCTTCTCAGGCACATGCAGAACCCCAGGAGCTGTAGCTACCTGGGCTTCCAGGCAAAAGCAGTTGCAGCTCAGCAAAGCAGGAGGTTAGACTACCATACAGACCCCTAAGAAGCAGCTGAATTCAGGGGGCTGAGCAGCAATAGTTTGCAGGTCCCATGTCCACAGCACCTTATAGGATAAGACCACTGGCTTGGAACTGTAGCCAACCACTGGTAGCAGTGTTGATGGAGCTCCCAGAGGGAGGAGTGGGTTACCATCTTTGCTGTTTTGCAGCCCTAGCCATTGTTGCCTTCAGTGTAGCCACCCTACGAAAATGCAGCCAGCTTGCTTTTTTATGTGTGTCCCTGACTGCTCTTCTCCTCACTGGGAAGGACCTTCCAACTGAGGTCACCTGCCACTCTTGCCACTGTTTTTTAGCTGGCATTGGTTCCGAGCCTTCCTGGAATGTGCTCCAGGTGAAGGGACAGGCCGCTATAGCTGTTTTGCAGCCTAAGCTATTGTTGCCTTCTGGCTCTAGGGAGTCCAAGGTAAATAGAGACATGCTCATGGATAGGAAGAATAAATCTCATTAAAATGGTCATACTGCCCAAAGCAATTTATAGATTCAGTGTTATTCCTAACAAACTACCAATGACATTCATCATAGCCCTAGAAAAAGCTATTTTAAAATTTGTATGGAACCATAAAAGAGCCCAAGTAGCCAAGGCAATCCTAAGCAAAAAGAACAAAGCTGGTGGCATCATATTACCTGATTTCAAAGTACATTAAAGAACTACAGTAACCAAAATAGTATGGTACTGGTAGAAAAACAGACACATAGACCAATGGAACAGAACAGAAAGCCCAGAAATAAGGCTGCATGCCTACAACCATTTGATCGTTGACAAAAACAAGCAATGAGGAAAGGACTCCCTAGTCAATAAATGGTGATGGGATGAATGGCTAGCCATATGCAGAAGATAAAACTTTATCCCTTCCTTACACCATATACAAAAATCAACTAAAGATGTTGATTTTTAATGTTTAATGTTTAAAACATTAAAGACTTAAATGTAAATCCCAAAACTATAAAATCCCTGAAAGACAAGTGAGGCAGTACTATTCTGGATATAGGTACTAGCAAAGATTTCATGACAAAGATGGCAAAAGCAATCACAACAAAAGCAAAATTTGACAAATTATAAAGCTCTAATTATACTAAAGAGCTTCTGCACAGCAAAAGAAACAATCATCAGAGTAAACAGATAACCTATAGAAAAGGAGAAAATTTTTGCAAACTGTGCATCTGACAAAGGTCTAATATTTAGCACCTATAAGGAACTTAAATTTACAAGAAAAACAAACATAAAAAAATAGGCAAAGGATATGGACAGTTTTCAAAAGAAGACATACATACGGCCAACAATCATATGAAAAACAGCTTGACATCACTGATAAATGCAAATCAAAACCACAGTGAAACACCATCTAACACCTGTCAGAATGGCTGCTATCAAAAAGACAAAAGATAATAGATGCTGGTGATGTTGGGGAGAAAAAGAAACACTTATACACTGTTGTTGGGAGTGTAAATTAGTTCAGTTATTGTGATAGACGGTGTGGTGATTCCTCAAAGACCCAAAGACAGAATACCATCTGATCCAGCAATCCCATGACTGGGTATATATCCAAAGGAATATAAGTCATTCTAATATAAAGACACATGCAAGTGTATGTTTATTGCAGCACTATTCAGAATAGCAAAGACATGGAACGAACCTACATATCCACCAGTGATAGACTGGGTAAAGAAAATATGGTACATATACACCCTGGAATACTATGCAGCCATAAAAATAACAAATAAAATGAAAAAAAAAATTCATCACAGCTAGTGAAGCTGTGGGGCTAGGACTCATTTCTATGATTGTATTCAGACTTGAATCCAGATTCTGTTTTACTGTATAATTTGGGCTCTATCGGTGTCCATAGTGGAATGAGTAATAAATAATTATTATAATTTTTCTAAAAGAAAAGGCAAAGAAAAGAAAATATGGTACATATACACCATGAAATACTATGCAGCTATAAAAAAAATGAGGTAATGTTTTTTGCAGAGACATGGATAGAGCTGAATGATGAGAACACATGGACATAAAGAGGAGAGCAACAGATACTGGGGCCTACCTGATGGTGGAGGGTGGGAGGTGGAGGAGAATCAGAAAAAAATATGAATTGGGTACTAAGCCTAGTACCTGGGTGATGAAATAATCTGTACAACAAACCCCATGACACAAATTTACCTACATAACAAGCCTGCACATGTACCCCTGAACCTAAGATAAAAGTTGTTTTTTAAAAAAGAAACCAAATATTACCCACACCTCAAAATTACCTGTCATTCCCCTTCCAATCATATGCCCCAGAGATAATGATCTTCTTGTTTAACATATGGTTTTGAACAGAGTATGTACTTTTGTGCCTGGATTCCTCAACTGAACATTATATTTTTAAGTACCATCCATATTGTAGTTCATTCTCTTTGCTCTGTAGTGATCAATTGTGTAAATATACCACAAGTTACTTATTCTACTTTTGATAGGTTTTGGATAAGTTCCCTGTTTAAGGTACTATGAATAGAATGAATATGAATTTTTTTTAACATGGAATGAATACTTATTTAGCTACCAATACTGCTCTCCTTTTCCATGTCATTTGAGAAAAGCATGTTATTAATTACATTGATAGAGAAATAACTCATGAGTTATAATATTGTGGTTTAAGGTTTACATGTTACTTAATCTTACTGATTTATAATTATGATTTTAGAGTTTTTATAACTAAAAGAGATGTTGGAAGTTGTTTACATCAACTTGGTAAGAAAATTTCTATTGATAGGGAATTTTTCTTTTTCTCCCTTTTTATAAAGAATATCCACTTAGCATCCATGGGTAGATATGTAAGGTGAGTTCAATACATGAAATGTCTTTGTTGCCTGAGCTTAAGGTATCTAGACAAAATAGCCCAGCAAGTTACAACTTAATGATGTCATGAAATAATTTAGATTGAACTCCATTATGGTTCACTTTATCTAAATATTTTTAATAATTATTTTTCATGTAAAGCTGTACATATAGGGCACATTTTACTCCTATACGTTACTATATATATTTTTTGAAAGGTGAAGAAGAAAACATTTTCTCACAAGCATCATTCAAACTTACGGAAACTCAACAAGAAGAGGAAACGGAGAAGAAAGACAGCAGAAAATTACTTCGGGAAGGTGATAATTGGCTAACAGAAGAGGCACAGAATGAACAGCAAACAAATGTAAAAGATAAACTTTCAATGTGATTATGTTAAGGTGAAATATAATACTGTTAGTACTGGCTTCATTAATTTTGCCCAGAACAAGATTTTTAATGTAATAGAATTTTAATTTTTTTTTTTTTTACTGATAAGTTACTATAACTGAAATATTGCTTGGGTTACAGAAAATACAATTATTTGTTCTAATTCTATCATACTAGAGCAACAAACTGCATTCAGTTTTAAATGAACACCTTTTACTTAGTTTTATAAAAAATACATTAATTTCTATTCTGATATTTTCTTTTGCATATGTTAAGGTATAGAGAATATATGCATGTTATTAAAAACAATGAGGATAATCTACATATAATAGCAATACAGATTCATTCTTAAATTTCAAAATTTAGGCTTTTAGGGAAAGGAAACATCCATTTCTTCTGAAAAATTATCCTGTTAATAAATGCCAATATAAGAATATGGGTTTTTTTTCCTCTTACCCTTTGATACCTGTAACTAATAAAATGAAAGTAATAGACTTTGGATTTGTGTGATAATTTGGAAACACAATACTTTTATTCACAAAAATGGTATAAGAAGATTAATAAGTCTTATGCCTAGGAGTTATGTTTTTAGTTGTCTGAAGATAGCATTCTAGAAAGAAAACTTAGAAGGGCAGATAAGAGTATATTTGAGAATAACCATTATAGGAAATAGTACTGACTATTTTTTAATGTTTAATCCTAAGTGTTCTCATTTTAATGTGGATTTTGCAATATTTATGAAAGATAAAGTAAAGTTGTGGTTGTTTTCCTGTGTGTACAGATTGAACAGGAGGCATCACTGGACCTGATTTTAGTAGAAGAGTATGACTCATTAATAGAAAAGATGAGCAACTGGAATTTTCCAATTTTTGAACTTGTAGAAAAGATGGGAGAGAAATCAGGAAGGATTCTCAGTCAGGTTTGCTTTCAAATATCTACTTTTAAACTACAAATTAATTTTTCTCAAATCTTTATAAAAAGCAAAATCTAATATCATATAATGGTTTAGGCACTAGTTCAACAATGACATGGTTCATTAAATTATTTTTTCCAAAAATTCACACATATATGTAAAACAGTTATATATAATATGTAGATCATGCTATTATATGTATGACAGATATTTGACCATATTAATGGGATTTAATTTATACTAAAGAAATGATAAAGATTTACATTTTCTTGAATGTTGAGGTTGAAAAGGACCGGAAAAATGATCTAGTTCTAACCACTGAAATGTAAGCTTCATTTTTTTCACTTGCCCTCCCTTTACTTTACCCAAGGCCGGAAGCTTCATTTCATGCTAGAACCATGGAAAAACACTTTCATTTTACCACCCAGACTCAGGGTTATATCTGATTGGTTCGCATAACAGCATCAGGTTAACCTTCCCAAAGTATTACTCTCATTAATTACTTTAATAACTAATTTATGAAATGCAAAAACATAAGGGTAAATTTTGTAAAAGACATGTAAGTTCGTCTCATTGAAGTTCCTTAGGGATAAAAATGTAACAAATGTTGTATTGTTTTGACTTTTTTTTACTACTCAGGACTAGACTAGAATAGAATTCACATGACCTTCAGTAAATTAGGAATAAAAAGCTAAGGAGAAGAATGGAAACATTTAAAAATTGGGACATAGTATGTATGGTTAGTCTTCTTTAACTTTCAGGGGCTTTAGGGTGATATCTTCCATTCTGATTTTTTGGAAAGAATTAATTGTAGGCAAGTTTTAAATAAATTATTAACTTAAAGACATATTAATATTCCAAAATACAAATCACAAAACATTATACTCAGCCACAAATAGATATTCTGATTTTTAAAGTGAACTTTATTTTAATTGACATTTAGGTTATGTATACCTTATTTCAAGACACTGGTTTATTGGAAATATTTAAAATTCCCACTCAACAATTTATGAACTATTTTCGTGCATTAGAAAATGGCTATCGAGACATTCCTTGTAAGTATTAACATATCTTATTGTTTAAGTTCAAATAATATGGATTTTGAAACTCTTTGTCATCTTCCTCTTCAGATAGTCCCTTAAACACTTTTAAAACTTCATGTTTGAATTTTTTTTTTCCTTGAGATGGAGTCTTGATCTTATCGCCCAGGCTGGAGTGCAATGGCGCAATCTTGGCCTACTGCAACCTCCGCCTCCTGGGTTCAAGTGATTCTCCTGTCTCAGCCTCCCGAGTAGCTGGGATTACAGGTGCCCACCACCACACCTGGCTAATTTTTTGTATTTTTAGTAGAGACGATGTTTCACCATGTTGGCCAGGCTGGTCTCAAACTCCTGACCTCTGGTGATCCATCAGCCTCAGCCTCCCAAAGTGCTGGTATTACAGGTATGAGCCATCATACCTGGCCTGAAAAAATTTTTAATGGAAATTTAAAAAGAAAATCTGTATTTTACTACCTAGATTTAACAGACTACTGCTAACAGTTTGTCTGTTTTCTGTTAACATTTTGGTATATATTCTCCAAGAGCTCTTCTTACATAAATTTATTTTTTTGTAAAGGTGGTCATAATATTGATACATATTTATAATCTGCTTTTTCACCTAGTTGTTATATAGTATACATCTTTCTATTTTAAATATTATTTGTCTGAGTACTTTATCTTTTCAAAAGTTAGTCAAGAGTTTCAGAAAATCATTCACTTAAAAATGTTTAAAATTTATCATATAATTGCAGTGCTTAACTGTATTCTGATTTATGGAATAATTTAATGGCTATTAGATATTATGTTTGAATATAATTTGGATTCCAAATTAGGAAAAGATAGGGCTGTCTTTATGTATTGTCTACAGTTTCCCTCCATGTGGACAAATTTTTTGGGAAATTAATTCTATAAGAAGTGAATTGTTCTTCAATTGGCATAACTCATTAATAATGTTTAATAATTTAAGATGAGTTATGTATACTGTCATTTTCACTTATAAATTATGCATTTAAGAAGTGGTTGAATTTTATAAATGGAATATAGCGTTACTTTAAGATGGACTTCAAGGGAAATGGAATGGAAAGAAAGAGGTGGTAAGGAGTGTTCACCGTCAGCTTCAATTAGGATATATTAGTTAAGAAAATAGTCTCTGGACCTAACTTTTCTAAACTTTAAAAATTTGTGAATGGGAATAACAATAGTACCTACTCCTTAGGTAGCCATAATATAAGATAATTCATATAAAGCACATATCAGAATTCATGATACTTAGTCAATGGTCAGTAAAAGGTGGTGATTCATTAATAATAATTAAGCTCCCAGTGGATTGACACCATGTCATGTCTATAGGCAAAACAGTATCATATTACCTACTAATGCATACATATACATTAAATAATTGTTGAAGTGTTGCATTTTTATTGGATATCTATGTTAACTGCAATGATTAGATTCACATAGGTTATCTTATTTAATCTTTTTTTGGAAAAGTTGTATTACCTACCTTTTATAGGTGAGAAGTAAACTCAGAAAGATCTTTCCCAAGATTATAAAACTAGGTATCAAAGTAGGATTTCAGTTTTAGGTCTATGTGACTTCTAAAGCCTATAATCTTTACACTATACCACATTGCCTTTTCACATAGTTGAATTTCAGTAAATCAATGTTTTATTGACCGTATATAATGTGTCAGACACTGTGCTGGATGCTTTCACATGTCATTTAGCATTTAATTTCTATAGCGAGCCTGGGACATAGTATTTCTGACCCTTTTTGTGGGGAACAAAAATGTAAGTAACCAGAATTTGTAACTGTTCTGTGTACAAAACTGTTTTGTGTGCAAACATGAGTTTCTGTAATCCAGACACTTAAATGATATTCTTGAAAGTCACAAAATAGCAAACTTAAGAACATTTTCCAATGCTTTTTAATACTCTTTGGTTTAATACTGCCTTTTCTTTGGCCCCTTTACTCTGTTTTCATAGCATATGGGAAAGCTTTTAAAAGAGAATTTTTTTAAGCACCTCAAGAGACTTTAGGTGAAATAAAATTCAATTGTGGGGAATTATTGTCATACATTTGTTACAAAGATATACTATGACTAGGAAATTCTTGTACTTTTGAAATGTTGTATGTCAAACCTAACAGAAAAACATTTTGGTGACTTTAGATCACAATCGTATACATGCCACAGATGTCCTACATGCAGTTTGGTATCTGACAACACGGCCAATTCCTGGCTTACAGCAGATCCACAATGCTTGTGGAACAGGAAATGAAACAGGTACTTCCTTCTACAAATCTCTGTTAATTATTTGATTAGGAATAATAAATCAAGCTTTCTCATTTCATTACCTCTGTTCTTTTAAATTTTTCATTAGATAACCTTTTAGTACATATGAAGGACTGTGTAAGTTTTTTTTTAACCACTTATCCCCAAGTTCTACTGTGTAAGTTTTGATGCATAATAATGACATGAACATTTTTAAACCTGTTACCCATCTTAAGAGGTAGATTAACATTCAGTACTGCTGGATCTATCATGCTTCCTTCTTTGCCCCATTCCATTGTTTTCCTCACTGAGGTAGCCACTATCCTGAATATTATGATAATTAATCCTTTGCTTTTTATTAAAAAAAAATTCTTGTTTTTTTTTGTTGTTGTTTCAAGTGCATCACATATATTTCAAGTGTATAACATTCTCAAACCAAAGAGAACATGTTTAAAAGCCTTGAAAAGTATTTAAATGATGAGATTAAAAACTTTTAAACAGACTTTGCTTCCAAAAAAAGTTAATGCTATTCCTTATCATAAATGTAATCATTTATATAAATATAATGAATCATAACATTTATAGTTCTCTTATTCTAGCTTACTAAAAGGGGTCAGGCAGGTGATTTATGCCTGTAATCCCAGTACTTTTACAGGCTTAGGCAAGAGAATTGCTTGAAGCCAGGAGTTTGAAACTAGCCTAGGCAAGACCCCATCTCTACAAAAAATTTTTTAAAAAATTAGCTGGGTGTGGTGGCACAAACCTGTCCTAGCTACTCAGAAAGCTGAGGTGGGAGATCTCTTGAACCCAGGAGTTTGAGGCTGCAGTGAGCCATGATTATGCCACTACACTGACATATGTCAAGACAGAATTTGCTCAGTTACCAATACTTGAGAAATAACATTACCATACTAATCAGTGTAAATGTCATAGACTCAGCCACTGATATCACTTTTTACATTTGGGTAGTTGAGTCTAAAGTATGCATTATTTGTTTAATGGATTTGCTTAATGTCACTCGTTCATTTTTGTCTGCCGTCTGTATTTACTCTTTCTAGTGTCCTTCATTCCTTCCAGCAGTTCTGTGCTTTTATTAGAGATAATTTTCTTCAACATTTTTGTTGTAGATATCATTCTGTCTTTGAAGAATATATTTATTTTTTAGCATGTTTGAAGATATTATTTATATTTTAGCATGTTTGAAGGTATTATTTATATTTTAGCATGTTTGAAGGTATTATTCCATAATCTTATGACTTTCTCTTTTTTTTTTTGAGACAGAGTTTCTCTCTTGTTCACCAGGCTAGAGTGCAATAGTGTGATCTCGGCTCACTGCAACCTCTGCCTCCCAGGTTCAAGCTATTCTCTTGCGTCAGCCTCTCAAGTAGCTGGGATTACAGTCATGTGCCACCATGCCCAGCTAATTTTGTATTTTTTTTAGAGATGGGATTTCTCCATGTTGGTCAGGGTAGTCTTGAACTCCCAACCTCAGGTAATCTGCCCACCTCGGCCTCTCAAAGTGCTGGGATTACAGGCATGAGCCACTGCACACAGCCAATCTTATGAATTTCATAGTTTCTGTTGACAAGTCAGACTTAGGTCTTATTGAGAAATATAAATATAATATGTTCATTTTTATCTTTTCTATTGGTTTTTAGCATTTTAACTATGATGCACTCATGTAATTTTTTGTATTAATTTTGTCTGGTGTTTAGTGAACCTTTTCAATATATTGGTTGGTGTTTTTCACTGGTTTCTATGATGCTCTTCAAATTCTTTCAGCTTCTCCATTGTCCAGTTACAAAGCCACTCCCACATTTTTAGATGTTTGTTATGTCAGTATTTCACTTCTAGGAACCAAAAGTCTGTATTAGTTTCCTACTGCTGCTATAATAAGCTACCAGAAATTTAGTAACTGAAAACAACACAACTTTATTATCTTACAGTTCTGGAGGTCAGAAGTCCAAAAAAAAGGCTTCACTGGAGTAAAATCAAAGTGTCAGCAGAACTGTTTTTTTCCTATATGCTCTAGAGGAGAATTTGTTTCCTTACAGCTTCTAGAAGCCACTGGCACTCCTTGGCTCATGGTCTTTTTTTTTTGGAGACAGTGTCTTGCTCTGTCGCCCAGGCTGGAGTGCAGTGGCTTGATCTCTCGAGTGGGTTCAAGCAATTCTCCTGCCCCAGCCTCCCAAGTAGCTGGGACTACAGAAGCATGCCGCCATGCCTGGCTAATTTTTTATAGTTTAGTAGAGACTGGGTTTCACCATGTTACCTAGGCTGGCCTCCAACTCCTGAGCTCAGGCAATCCTCCCACCCTGGCCTTCCAAAGTGCTGGGATTACAGGCATGAGCCCCCGTGCCCGGCTGGCTTTTTTGTTCAAGACAGCAGCATAGCATCTTCAAATTTATTTTTGACCCTGACCTTTTGATCTTTCCAAGGAACTAGTGAAATTCAGTCCAGCTCTGCAAACCTTGGCGTTCTGTGCAGAACATGCTTAGCTGACAGTGATTCTCCTAATTTTAGTCTCTTTTGTGGTCTGGATAGGCTGACAATTTCCTGAATTATCAGGTCTTTATTCCTCTTTGCTTACCAGTTCTCCCCTAATCTTTCCTTTTCCTCTTATATTTTACTGTAAGCAGTAAAAAACCAGACTACACCTTCAACACTTTGCTTAGAAAATTCCCTCAACTAAATGTCGAGTTTATCATTTGTATTCTGCATAACTGCAACACATAATTCAGCCAAATTTTCTGTTACTGTATAACAGGGATTCCCTTGCCTCTAGTTTCCAGTAACATGTTCCCCATTTCCTTCTGGGCATTCATTGGTAATGCCCTTAATGACCATTTTTCTATCTCCAGTGTGTTTTCAATGATTTAGGTGTAGTATTCTTTAAGACAATATATATTTTCTCTCTCATGCTACACACTTCCTTCTGAGTTTTTAATAGCAGTGTTATTAGTTCTTATACATGGTATCATGGAGTCAAGTATCTGTAGAAGAAAGGAAACCAAGTAGCTTTGGGAAACCAAGTAGCTATTGCAATGGAAAATTGTGATGAAAACTAAGACTACAAGGACCATGAGATGTGCTGGCTTATTTTCACTGCACTGGAGAACTGATAGAAAAGAAATGACAAGTTTAGGGCTTTAATTAATGTTTGGTTAACCAGATAGCTTCTCTGATTGACCTAAAAGAAACCCTTATTTTTTATAGTAATAGAATCATAACTTCTGAAAATAAAACCCAATGTCTGACCCTGAAGTTAGCTGAAACACAATGCAAATGAGTTTGTGGCCTCAGTAGACTTCTTATGTTAGAATTAAGGTATCAAATGAGAAATACAGGATCCTGAGAATTGAAATGAGATTATTTGGATAGATTTCAATAAATATTGCCTTGTATCCCCCAAATCCTGCTGATTCTCCCTGCTGGGAAACAGTCATTTCTCCTAGTGTTGATTGCCTGAAAACCCTGTAATGATGTCACCTGAGTTTCTTGATTAAGGGGAATAATTCACTTCTAAATCCAACTCCACTGCCACTCATTTCTTTGAGATCCATAATTAAACTTAAATCCTGCAGATTCTAGGGGAATAAGTACTAAGTCTGAACACTAGAATAATTTGCCAATTCATATTGGTAGAAACCTGGGGGATATATGTGGGAATAGGCTTAAGGGTGTTAGACCAGGGAGAAAGGAAGATGTACCTACCAGAGATTCTGGAATCAGTGTATTAGCTTGAGCAACTGGCGGAAGCCCTAACAGTTTTCCTGATGAGTTATCCAAAGTATAGGCATTGGATGAAGTAGAATTGTTGAAACTTCCTAGTGTACTCCAGAGGAAGGAATCCAGAAGCTTATAATCACAAAAAAGGTATTGCAATGGGGTGATCATCTTCAGTTTTATTGTCCATCCCTAACTTTATCCCTCAGAAGTATCCCCCTTTATCAAAGTGTTGAAAAATATATTTCAACATTAATTCCTGGAAAGTGAAATGCTATGCTGGTACTCCAGCCAGTTAGGAGCTTATGGAATTTAGACGATAAAAGGACTTTGGCCTGGGTTCATCTCTTAATGGTAGTTACCTGAACCACACCCATTTTCTGAATGCATAGTTTGAATAAACAGATTCAGCAACTGGCAGAATCCCTTCATCAATTCCTTGATGTTTAGAAAGAGGACCATAATTGTAAGAAGGGTCAAATGGTATCTCCAGGAATTGCCTCATTCTGGCAAAACAGTGAACCAAAAGCGATACTACATTTCTGGATCAGTTGCAGAAATCAGTGCTACTATCAAATACTTAATAGATGCAGGAGTGATGATTTCCATCACATTGCTGTTCAATTTAATTATATAGTTTTTACATAGGATAAATAGATCCTGAAAATGATGGCGGTAATTACATTCTCATTGTAATCAAGTGATTACTCTAGTTGCCACAGCTGTTCCAGATATGGTCTTTTCTTTTAATAAGTCATATTTGATATTTGGCATAGAGCAACTGATCTGGAGAGTTTTTTTCCCTTCCATAACTCAGCAAAATTCTTAAGAAGACGTGTTTACTTCTGGCAGGCATCACAATACACTTCCATTGTCTTAGTTCTGGGCTATGTCAAGTCTTTCATTCCCTGTTATAATCTAGTCTGGTCCCATAAGTTATCAAGGCCATCCATTACATTGATGAGATAATGATGAATAGCCCCACTGAGTAAGAAATAACAAATATCCTAGATGCCTTCATAAGAGTGCCAGAAGATGATAAATGAGAAAAATTGCACAAAAATTCAGATATCTGTCATCTCATTAAAGTTTACTAGGGATTCAGTGGTCTAGGACATGTAGAAATATCTCCTCTGAGTTGAGGGATAACAGATACATTTAAAATTCTCTACAGAAAGGGCTCTTTGAATTCTGAAGGCAAATTCATGACTTCTGAGTACTACTGCTCCAAAATACTACTGTAAGAATGTGGATTTTATGTGCGACCCAGAGCAAGATAAGCATGT